AACTCCTAGAAGAAAATAGACGATATACCCTTTGACATCAGTCTTAACGATATTTTTTTGGATCTGTCTCCTCAGGCTTGGGAGACAAAAGTAAAAATAAACAAATGAGACCACATCAAACTAAAAAGCTTTTGCATAACAAAATCTCAACAAAATGAAAACCCTGATTAAAAAATGGGCAGAGAACCGAATAGACTTTAAAAAAAAAAAAGACGTACAAATGGCCAACAGATGAGGAATGTAAATCAAAATCACAATGAGATACTATCTGTCAGAATGGCTATCATCAAAAAGACAAGTAATAAGTATTGACGAGGCTGTGGAAGAAAGGGAACCCTTGTGCACTGTTAGTGTCAATATAAATTAATGTGGGCGCTATGGAAAACAATATGGAAGTTCCTCAAAACTTAAAAATAGAATTACCAGAGGATTCAGTAATTCCACTTATAGGTATTTACCTGAAGAAAATAAAAACACTAATCTGAAAAGATGTATGCACACCAATGTTCACAGCAGCATTATTTACAGTAGCGAAGATATGGAAGCAACCTAAGTGTTCATCGATAGATGATTGGATAAAGAAGATGTGGAATATATATACAGGAAACTATTACTCAGCCACAAAAAAAGAAATCTTGTCATTTGCAACAACATCAATGAATTGAGAGGGTATTATGCTAAATGAAATAAATCAGACAGAGATAGACAAATACTGTATAATCTCACTTACATGTGGAATCTAAAAAAATAAATAAACAAAACAATGAAAAAGTACTCACAGAGAACAAAGGAGTGGTTGGCAGAGGCGGGGGTAGAAATAGGTGAAGGGGATTAAGAGGTTACAAACCTCCAGTTATAAAATAAATAAGCCACAGGGATGTAGTATACACATAAGAAATATGGTCAGTAATATTGTAGTTACTTTGTATGGGGACAGATGGTTACTAGGCTGATCGTGGTGATCATTTCATAATGTATGCAAATGTCAAGTCACTATGTAGTACACCTGAAACTAATATAATATTGTATATCAACTATATTTAAATTTAAAGAAATGAAATTTTTTAAAACATAAAAAACATGTTGGTGTTGGGAAAACTGTATACTTACATGTAAAAGAATGATTTTGGAAACCTTTCTTTACACCATAGACAGAAAACTAACTCAAAATGGATAAAAGGCCTAAACCTGAGAGGTAAAATTATGAAAGTCTTAGAAAGAAATGTAGGGAGAAGGCAGTATGACAATGGATTTGCAATGATTTCTTTGATACGGCACTGTTGCTTCTTTTACGGTGTGCTTCCCCTCCTTCGCTATGACCACTACGTGTCAACAGCAACCCTCAGACATTTTCAAACATCCTCTTTGGGGAGGCATGTATTGCCCTTACTTGAAACCACTACGAGATTGAAAAAAAGTTTTTGTGTGATGTTTACAGCATATTTTCAGAGATGGGAGACAAAAGCATCATCTAGCAGGGTATCTTTTCTGACCACTATCCTTAGCATAGAAAGTTAAATTGGCTAATTAACGCTTTGGGAATGTCACTTATTTAAAATTTCTCTCTTTTTTTTCCCATAAGAATAATACTTCTCATTTCAAATGATTGAGACTGTGCAGAAATTCTTAAAAAGTGGATAATAATAATAATTCACATTTGTGCTTCATGTTTGGCAAAAATAAACCTCTCTGATTTAATTTGAGGCCATAATAAATATGTGGAGGTTGCCCACATGGGTGTTAGTTTCCATTTAAAAGGTGTCAATTGGTTTCCTGCTATGAAAGATGAGAATGACTCACATTTCTTTCTACCTCAACACCCGCCTTAGTTTTTATTATTTGTAATTTTTTATGTTTATAATATTTACATTATGTTTATAAACATAATTTCCACAGTATTATTTTCTATATAAATGTATTAATGCATATTGCCAATCTTTTTACTTACTTCTTCCTACAGTTCTTTATTTTTCTCTCTGTTAATTAGCTGGAGTTTATTGTTAAGTGGTTTTTTTTTTTTCCTACCTAGTGTTCATAGAGGTTATTTGTTCTGACTTCTTTCATGGTCAAGGATATTTGCCATCACTTGGCACAGACGATGAGGCCCATAGAGAAGTACTGTGACTCCAAGGAAACTAGGTATAGGATAAGTATATTTCATTATTAGGGAAGGTGTGACATTTAAAATTAAGTTTAGTTTAAACTTTGTAGAGTACTCTTTGATTTAACTATTATATTTATAAGTGTCCCATAAAAAAGAGGTAAACAGCTTTAATTGATAGTTTGTGAAAGATGACATATGAGATAAATATGAAAATTATCAAGATAGAATCTATATCTTTGGACATAGAAAATATTTATGAAATACATATAAAAATATTTGTGAGTAAAATTATTTGCTCTCTGAAATTTGTTTCAAAATGATCTGTGGGCAAGGGGGATAAAAGGGGAGTATCAGTGAAACAAAGATTGGCCACTCACTGATCAGCACAGAGGTGTTCTTTATACTGTTCTTTCTGCTTATGTTTGGAAATTTCCATAATAACAAGAGAAAGTGAAGAAAATGACAGGCGTATTTGAGCACTTCTGTTTTCATCAGTATTGCAGCATTAGAGACCCTGAAACTACCCAGCTACTTAATATCTAAATATGCTTGATAAAATATTAAAACCACTCTTAAATGATTGATGAGTCCACTAAGATCCGAATGTAGTAGAGGCTAGGCAGGAAAACTTAAGTTTTAAAGCCGGAAACCCTGAGGCCTACAGTCATCTTTATTGAGACTCTGAACTGCATTGCACAAAGGGGACAGGGACAAAGCCTGAAGTCACATAAAATGGAAGCGTAATGCCTGGACCCAGGAGAGAAGCACCCTCAGGAAGGGTGAACTTGAAAGGAAACCCACCCTGCCAAGGTGGACCATAAGAACACATTTCTGTCTTGGGCTGGGCAATGAATGGACATTTAAAAAAAGGAGTTAAGAAAAAGCCTCCCCTGAGAACTTGTAGCCACTGGCCAGATCTCATGTAGTTTGGGACCCAGTCCACATTCTTTGCATGATCCCAAAACACAAGCCTGTAATTTAAAGGGTATCAGGATAGGTAATATTCCCAGGTATCTAGGAGAAGCAAAAGCAGACTTTCCCAGGGGAGCATACCCTCAGCCAGGCCTCAAAGAATTCGCAGAGACAACCAACAAGAAACTTACAGTAAAAAATTATAAAACAGAAATCAAGCAAGTCAGAGATAACAGAATCAGAACCACAGAGAGCTTAGGTTTTATAACTAATTATCAAAATTTAAAAAATAATTCTACTTGAAATATTTTCAGATGTAAAAATGGGCATTGAAAACAGGAGTGAGAATAAGAGACTCTCATTATGATGAGGCCAATTTGAAGAACAAAATACTACTTTTACAAATAAAAAAAAAACTTACTGAAATTAAGAATTCAAATGGATAGAAGGTTAAATGAAAGATTAATATAATTGTGTAGAGAATGAGTGACCCAGAAGATGTATGTATCTGAGGAAACTATCCAACGTCTAGCCATAGGGAGGTGGGATGTGGGAATTTGTAAGGAGGATTAAGAGACATGGTGGAGTAGGAAGAAGGCCTGTCAAACTGTATGTGTGTCTTCCTGTTTCCTACAAATGGAGCAGCCTGTTGACTGCATCCCTCACCAAAACTTAGCAGCACTTTTATTTTTTTAATTAAAAAAATTTTACAATTAACATGGTTTATTTTATTATCAGTCTTACAAATGGCTGAAGTTGGGCATGCCCAGGATTGTAGCTTGAATGTCACACTTTTGTTAGAAACAATCTAATTTGGGAAGCTGTGCTATTGAGCAAAGAGCAGTGGAAATGCAGGGTTATCCAGCAATGTTAGAGACTGTTCCAGAAGCAGCAGGTGAGACCAGGTACTTCACAGCCAGAGGTCCACTCCAGGGGCCCTCGTCCACTGCCCACCTTCAAGGAAGCCCAGAAGCCTCTAGGGGCACCAGGGAGGCACAATGGGCTGGAGGAGCTTCACGGCCCATGTGCTATGTCTCTGCCTCAGCATGGCCATCCACACCATATAGCCACACATCCCTACGCAGAGTGGGGCAGCACTGTCTCCCATTACCTCCACCCTTTTATAAGAGGGCAGCCCCATCCCTGCCCTGGATTTCGGAGAGCCTGGCTCCAGTCCCCAGCTTCATGTAGTTTGAGCTCCCTTTGAGACAGGAAGGAAAGGGACAGGATATAATTAAAGGGATGACACAGCAATTAACACCAAAGTGGCGGAAAATTCAACTCCCAGTAGGCCTTGAGGCCCAGGTTGGCAAGAGATTGGACTTCCAGTAGTAGAGTGTGAGGGAAGGGACATATAGGCACTTAGAACACTGCCTGGCAAGTAGCAAGTACTCAAGAAATATTCGCCGTTATTATTAGCTTTGGATAAAAATTATGTTTTCCAAATATACAGTAATTAATTTTTATCTTTATTCAACATTGTGACATAGGTATTATCACCCTTAATTTGTGGTAGGAAATTGAGGCACCAAAGGGTCAAATAACAAAAACTATAGAGGTGAGAGGAATGTTGGGTACATCTAGATTGGCTTACAGCTTTGTTACACATAGAATAATTAATGTGTGTTTCTTGGTCTGATATGAGCAATGACATAGGGAAGACTAAAATGTAACTGATGGTGTGGCTATAAGTTTTTGGCTTTGTTGACATCATCTATTATAATATAGAGCGTGACAGCCAGATGGGAAAAAATTCCAAGGCATTATATAAAGAATCATGTGTCATTTAATGCTCATTACACTTTAGCTTCAGCTGCCCCCACAAATGAACTCTTATCTCTACAGGCAATAAAATGTTAATAGTAGTCAGTGAACACACCCGTATATCTGCCACCCAGACCTACATATATTTGTTTGTTTATTGTCAGTATCCCAGAAGTCTCCCTTATGCTCCACCCTCGTCTTTGTCCCTTCCAAAGGTCACTGCTCTTCTGACTTCTATCACTATACATCAGTTTTGTCTGGTTTTTTTTTTGTCTTGTTTGTTTTTATTGAGATATAGTTGACATAGAACAAACACACATACATACACACACATATATTTATATATATATTTGATCTGGGTGACAGATATACGAGTGTGTTTATTTTGTAAATATACATCAGGCAGTTTACTTAGATTTTTTGTACTTCTTCTGTATATGTATTATACCTCAATTAAAAAGTTTACTTAAACAAAAGACTTTATGGATGTGTGAAATTTAGTTTGGTAGACTCAACATTTAACTTTGCAGTCTGTTTTGCAGGGACAAATGTTACATCCTCTGCCCCACTTAATGAGTCTGCAGAATAATTATCAGTACCTAATTATATACATTCTTCCCCTGCTATGTCGTGTTTTAGAGCTTGACCACCTCTGTGAACTTTATAACCAAACTAATTCTTTCTTATGTGGTGTCTTGCCTGCTATAGAAAGAAAATTATATGAATCAAGGTGGTCTGGGTCCACATCTGGCCTCAACACTTCCACCACCCCTGTCATAGACACACGCGCACACATACACACATTATATGTCTCTCTCTGTATTAATGCCAGCTTCTCTTCTTTTCTCCGTATCTATAAAAGACTCTGACAACTGGTTTTCCGTATCTCTCTTCTCTCCAAGGTGGTCACTTCCTTGGCAGAGTCTGTGTTTATTTAGATGATCAACCCATCACCCTATCCTTCTGTGTTCTTTGATCTTCTCAACTAAACATTCAGATTAAGCAGAATTCTAAACATCCCCTTGTTCCCCAGAGCCCAAGATTTCAGTTCATCCACTGATTATTTAACCAAACACTAATCTAGGTACTGCTTTGAGGAACTTTACAGTTGTAATTAAAGTCCCAAATGAGTTCACTCCAAAATAGTGAGATTATTGAGATGAACCTGATGTAATCACACTTTGAACGGAGGAAGGGGAAGTCGGAGAGATTTGAAGTTTGAGAAGGACCTGCTTTGAAGGAATCCCAGAGAAGGAATGTGGGCAGCCTTCAGGAGCTGGTTGGCCATCAGCCTCAGCCCTAAACTGCAAAGACCTCAGTCCTAGAACTGCAAGGAACTGGATTCTGCTAACAACGTGTCCTTGGAAGCAGATTCCTCAGATAAGAGCCTTCAGATAATAGTCCACCTGGCTGATACTTTGATTTGGTGCCGTGATACCCAGAGCACAGCCTAGCCCGCCTAGATTCGTGACCTCCAGAATTGTGAAATAAGAAATGAGTTTGACACAGCATTGTAAACTGACTATACTTAAATAGAAAAAAAAAAGAAATCAATATTGTTTTAAGATGCTAAATTGATGGTAAGTTTTCACTCAGCAAGAGAAGACAAATATACCTTCTTTCCATTTCCATGATCCTACTGTCACATTCAAACCATGGGACCTTGTCAAAACCTGGAATACCAATATTAAATGCCAGTTTCTTGTTCAGTAACTTCACCCTCCTGTTTCAGCTTTTCAGCCTCCAAGTGACTGATCCCTTTTAAGCCCCCCTTCTACTTGTCTCTTCCTGGCTTCGCTTTCCTGTGATGAATCACTTCACCTACTTATCTCTTGCTCCATTTTTCTATTGCTTTACCTACCCAGCAAAACCACATCCTAGAATTTATTCATCCTTCTAACCTTCTCTATCGTCACTTCTTTGTGTTTGGGAAAACCATGCCCATTTGTGGCTTTGATGCCATCACATTCATAGAATCCAATCTTAGGGGTCCTTGGTTTTGCCATGCAATGTCTTTCTCTCTAGGTCCCTTATTAGAGTTAGAGGAAAAACTTTTCCTCTACCAATTTAGGTGCAGGAAAAACAGATGTGGGGCATAATGAGGGCTGTGTCCCAGGTCTCGGTGAAGCCCCTGGGATGTGCCCTGCCAGATATGGGTCCTTGGCTTTGCACAGGAAAGGATTCAAGAGCGAGCCACAGTTGAGTAAAGATAGATTTATTTAGAGAGATACATACCACATAGAGTGTAAGGCAAGAGAAAGGCCATGAGGTGTGGGGGTTGGGTGCTCAGGTTAAAGTAAAAGTAGGTACACACTCCATAGACAGAGTGCGGGCCATCTCCAAAGAGATGAGGCGGCCACGAGGCGTGGTGTTGCCAGTTTTTATGGGCTCAGTAGCTTCACACGCCTACAAATGGGAGGACTATTCCAACTACCCTTGGGAAAGGGGCGGAGATTCCCAGGAACTGGGCCACGGCCCACTCTTTGACCTTTTGTGGCTAGCCTTGTGACTGTCATGGTGCCTGTAGGAATGGTATTTATCATGCT